TAACGCCTTAAAATGGGGCCTCTGTATCTTTAAACTCCACCTTCAGGAAGTCATCACATTGTTCCTCCATTAACAAACTTTCTTTACCAGCATTGTACTGAGAAGTAGCTCCCAAAATGAGCTCAGTTCCACCAGGTGTTTGCTAATTGCTGCTGGCTAGTCTGAAGGAGCTGAGTGGAGGAGGGCTTCTCCGTGAGGCAAAAAAACTCGGTAGCTGGAAACCTGGAGCTCAGAGGAGGAACTTTGTCCTCAAAGGCGGAGCTAGGTCCACTCGGGCGTTCTGCACAGCTGAATGGTTGCCACGGGAGATTAAAGGATTTCTCAAACAAGCATGAAAGAATCAAGGCAACTCTCCAGTTAGGAATGTGATGAGGGAATAACATTATAACATGATATAAATCTAAAAAAGTCAATCTTACATAATAGTGCCCCTTTAAATAAAAATGTAGCAATCAATAAATTATAAGCGCATTTAGCATAGCATTCCTGAACCCCCTCCAGGCCTCTCACCACAACCTAACACCCAGCAGCCAGCCCTCCTTCACACCCACACAGGACACTTCATACCCCCACAACCTTCACAGAATCCTAGCGAGCTGGTTGGAGGCTGCTCTTTGCTGTTTATCCTGGCACAGCAAAGCACCCTGTGGCACAAGTTAGTTTCTGTAGCATCCTACAAGGGACAGTCGCTCACACACACACACACACACACACGCGCGCGCGCATGCATACACGCACACATGCACACACTCCTACTCCCACACCCACACATAAAGGAGGTCTTGTCAAGAGAGGCAATTCAGCAGTTGGAGAAACATACTGTGCATATGAGAGCAAATGTTAGTTGCTGCGGACTGGGAATCGTCCAAGACGCTCAGACGGTTAAAAAATTCAAACGGTTGTGACAACAAGCAGGATGTACTCTGACTAGTTTGTGATGAGTGCATCGATGAAGTTAGAGCTGAAACCAGATACTTACATACAACCTAAAAACACACAAGAAAAAGTCAAACTTAATTTCTTAATGATAGAGTAATGAAAGACGCTCTTCCTGAAAACCATGCTAGGACTGCTGGAGGGTATTTTTTTGTGTGAGACTTTGAAGAAAGCTCTCTTCCCCTCTATAGTGGCATCCAGCTTCTAGTGCCCCACTTATCACCCAATGACTACTGGAAATAGGCGCCAGCCCCCCCGGCAACTTTAACAACGAGTGGGTTTTAACGAAGGATCAATGGATGGACTGATGGGGCGGTACCACTGAAAATCGAAAACATTTTTGAAACAGTAACTTGTTAAAACCTTGGCATACCATGATGCCAAAAACCAACCCAGTCCTCTTTCAGTGTATTTGGTGAGACCCATCAGTAGTTTATATTTCTGGAAGAAAACTCTGTGTCTTTAAATCAAACTCTGGCTTGATGGGTGGAAGATCCTCATGTTGGCAAGAGTAGATGGGACAGATTACATAAAGAAAGTAAATAGGCAAAAACTCGTGAATATGTATGTATTTAAGTCTTTTTCATTTTTTTGCTACATGAATGCAAGTCAAAATATTGTTAATACCACAATATTAATATCACAACAAAGAGAACTGAAACCTCTCTTTGTTGTGCATTTCAAAAATGCACAGCCTCACATATAATATTCATAAAGTAGTCAAATGATAAATGCTACATGAAACTCCTTAAGTGGTTAATAGTGTCTGTCAGCGTTTTAACAGGGCAATCTGGATTAGTGCATTGCTCTATTATCGCCCCCTACTGGTCGAATAAGTGTTAGTCGGACAAATTGTGAAGTTGGTCAGTTTCAGCATTCAGCATGTAAATATAAGTGAACTGTATCTGCAGAGAGAGCGCCTGCAGGCGTAGCGTAAGATGAAGAAATGTTGATTTTGGGCCATTGCTGCAACATTTTGTTTATCGTTGGTTTTTATAGTCGTGGTGTTTCTGTGTGGTTTGGATGGCGCTAAATTGTGTGAATTTTTTTGCTGGAAATCTCACTGTGTATGTTACGGTGTCAAAAAGGAGTCTGAAGCTGCATTCAGGAACAATACTTGACATTCTGACCAGCGTGTTCAACCTCACCAGTCTGTGGCTTCACAACCAGCTTTCTATCAGGACCAGCATCAATGTCTTCAGCAGTTTAAAGGGGCAGCATTATGTGTTTTCCAGGCACATAGTGCCATTTTATAGCACAGCCAAGTTACTATGTTAACTTTAGTAGTTATAAAAACTCCATATATTATATAAGTCAAATATGAAAAAATGTGCATTCAAAGAAATTGAGCCTCTGTCTCTTTAAAATCTCCTGCTCTTTCTGAAACTCCGCCTTCAGGAAGTCGTCGCAACATGGCAATCATCATTTAAGAATGATTTTGTGGAAACAAAAACAAAAAAGCTACTGAACATGTTTTGTGTTACCTGTAGCCTATCCTGTCTATTCAAAGCATAACAGGTGACCTTTAATATTATGCTGATTTTATGCTTCTAATATTGACAAGCATCTTTTGATATGTACTTTTTTGTAAAAAAATATAGATAAGTAATAGCTCAAGGTGTTGGCTGGAATCTGCTCGAGGTGAACTGTTGACCCTGTGGAGCTGCAGAGACGCGGCCATGTTGGCCGCTGTCGACCCAGACCAGGAGCTGCTTCCTTTTCCCTACAAACAATACAAAACGTTGATCCAGTTCCAACTGGAAATGTGCATTTACTCACTAAATCTACCAAGGAAGAAAAAGCTGTTAGTATTTCATGCAGGAGGCGACTCTTATTTTCACCTTTCATGTCCCAAGTACATACTGTACACAGCAACAAAAAAAAAATCATATTCCCTCAATAATCTTTTTTTTCTGGAATGTAAAAAAAAGTTTTGATTATTTCAAGACACAGAGCTCAGCAACACTTTTAAATATTACAAATCAGCGGAGTTGTACTCAGGAGGCGACCCGTGAGCTGCTTCAATAGAATCAAAGTTAATAATATCTGTTAAAACCTTACAGATTAAAACAACGTAAAAGGCTCGTAAAACTAACAGCTGTTATGTGCTTGACCTCACTGTGTTCTGCACAGTGGACGACTGGGACGAGGTAATTGATGCCATATCAGAACAAAAGAAAAAAAAAAAACACTCGGTAATGAGCCCTTTAAGAGACACTTACCCGGTTTCTCTCATCTCCACCTCTTTTTTTTTTCTTCTTTTTTCTTGAAGTTTCAACGTTGTAAGCCTGCATAACGGCAGGCCTTTTTAATAATGTGACTGTCATTTTGAAATGAGTTCATTATGCACCGTTATCACGTTAGATGTGTTAGAAACCCGAGTGGCTGCGACTTAACTTCTCACTTGGCGTGAGAGGCTCACATTTATTTGGCCAGAATTCAATACCATCATTTGGTTCCTTTTTTCACTCTCTCTCTCTCTCTCTCTGTGGCTAATCCTTTTTTTACTCCCACACTGACGACTGGAAAGGGAGACGCAGAGAAAGAGACAGAATGAGATAGAAACAGGATGAGAGCGTGTGAGGGAGTTGAAGAGTGGGAAATCAAGTCAGAAGCCGCTAGGGGAGGGGATGGAGGTAGGGGATGAGTGCATCATCGAGGAGAATGAGGTGAGGAAGAGAGAGCGTCAGGACAAAGAGAACGAGGCAGGACCCCAGAGGACAAAGCCAGCCGGAGAGGGGAGACAGGACAAGGGTTAGAAGTGGTCCATTTTCGCCGCGATTTATAAAGGCAATTTCAGCCGGAGCAGGAATGAAGCCGGAGCCGCGGCGCCATCTGCCAAAGCGTTTACTGCTGGCGGCTTCACCAGTTTGTTTCAGTCCTTCTCAGCTCATATGTAGCCTTCTGTTTAATTAAGCAACAACAACAAAAATGTAACCCGATTAAAACATTCTCTCAGACATATTTACGGAGAGAAAAACCCTTTTCACACACAATCCGGGTATGATTTGAAACCGTAACCAAAATCAAAAATCCCCAACAGCTGCGCTTACATTGACTGTATAATTGTGTGAATTAGGAAAAAGGAACAAACTTCCTGAAAACTGCAAAACTGCCGAAACACTGAGTTCCTTTAAATCTAGACTAAACACTCAGATGTTTAGAGTTGCTTTTGAAACCTAATCATGAAACATTAATCAATAATCTGATGTGAAAAATGTAGAGTTGTTGACTTTGTAATTTTGTGTTTTTATGCCTTTTTGCTGAAATGTGCTATACAATTAAAATTTGATTTGATTTGAAGGGGCAGGGTTATGTAAATTTGACGTTTTTGAGATTTACATCATGTTATAATGTTAATCCCTCATCCAAAACATACCTGAAGAGTTGCTTTGATTCTTTCATGCATGTTGGAGAAATCCTTTAATCTCCATGGCAACCATTCAGCTCTGCACAACGCCTGGGTGGACCTAGCCCCGCCTTTGAGGCGCAGCTCCTCCTCTGAGCTGAAAATTTCCAAGCTTCCGCCTCACAGAGCTTTTAAAGTGACAGAGGAACTATGCATCCGAGGAACACACATGCTGCCTTGCTTTTCACTTCTTGTCAGATTACAACCATAAACTTTAAGGTGTTTCACTGGGATTTTGTGTTGCAGAGCAAAACAAAATACCGCAAGACTTTGAGGCAGAAGGAAATAAAATATAGTTTGCCACATTGTTTACATGCAGCGCCCCAGTGCCATCATTTTCAGAAGAATCGGCCTTTTGGACGTTTCTCTATCAGCTTTCAATATGTGCAAAGTAAAATGTTCAGGTCTTGCCACAAGCAAATGGTAAAACTCATGGAAAACTATAAACAGGTCTTCCTGTGACTTTGTTCAAACAGCCTTCGTGACAGGCTTCTGTAAAGCATAAAGGCGATGCGAGTGCGTCGCTGTTAGTCGTCATGCCAACAGATCCTCCCCAAAATTAGCTGTGGATCTCTGAAGCTCCTACTGAAGCACCGCTGACCTCCTGGGTGCTGCTCTGGTTAATTTAATGCTTTTCAGAAAGTGGACTGAACGACGCTCTGTGAGGTGGAAAACTGCCTTGAATTTCTCCACAACTTTCTCATGTTTTTTTTTTTTTTACATGTTCATTGGTGTTCATGAAACTGTTTATATCCGATGAAGCCACCGAGGAAACAACAGCTGTATTTATGCCAAGATTAAATTATTCACTGGTGGATTGTGTTTACTAATTAGGTGAGCCCTGAAGGCAACTGGTTGCACTTATTTTAAGGATGCTCTGATTCATGCCTGTGTTCACAGCCAGCAGACGGGGGTAATATGTGAGGCACAGGAGAGGAAAGTTAGTGGAGATCTTTAAGCATCTAATTAATTTGCGGGATCTTATTGGAAGATGAGTGAATATAACTTGACTTTGGAGAAGGTTTTGCTGACACTAAATTAAACCAAGTTCAATTAATTTGAGCATATAGTGAATTACAATGTTGACTCTATTCAAATACATTAACTTTTTAAAGTAGCTATACAAAGCACCCGATTTATTTAAGTTGAGCGTACGCTGAAGATATCTGAGTTCGCCTTGAAATTGGACCTCTGTTTCTTTAAAAACTCCTGCACTCTCCAAAACTCCGCCTTCAGGAAGTCATCACAACATGGCTCTTCTATTAACCCTTTAACAATGTTTTTACCAGCGTTGCACTGAGAAGTGGCTCTTATAATGAGCTCAGCAGTTCCACCAGGCATTTGCTAATTGCTGCTGGCTAGGCTAGTCTGAAGGAGCTGAGCGATGGAGTTGCCTGGGAGGGCTGCTCTGTGAGGCAAAGCCAAGAAGCTGCAGCTCCAAGCTGGAGCTTCGTCCTTGAAGGCGGAGCTTGGTCCACCAAGGCGTTTTGCACAACTCAATGGTTGCCATGGAGATTAAAGGATTTCTCAAAATGCATGAAAGAATCAAGGCAACACTCCAGGTATGTTTATGATGAGTGAACAGCATTACATGATGCAAAGCTAATAAAGTCAATTTTTACATGACACCACCCCTTTAATGAAAGCTAACGACATTTTTGAGGCAACAAGTTTACATACATTTTTGACGTAAGGAGAACTAATTTAGGTTTAGTTCTCTACACCTGAGGTGGCTGCACCTGACAGAGGACCTGCAGAAACGTTTGCTGATCTCCAGGTGATGTGATGTGAAGCGGCCGGACTGACAGGTGAGTGGAAAGCTCCTGTGAACTGAGTTTCCCAGGAAGTGAACAGAGGACTAAGAAAATACTCGAGGAGAGAATTATGTACCTGGAGGCACGCTCTAGATACATTATTTGTGGGCACAAGAAAACATGGAGTTGGTACCAAGCAGACTACTACAGACTTGAGTCAAGATGCTGAATTCTGCGACTAACAGTGACGAGCAAAAGCTGAGAGAGTTTCACTGGTCTGTTTGTACTGTGAACTGATAAGTTGATGAGCTGCAGCTGATGGACGTGACCAGGCTGAACGTCGCCTCAGTCATGTGTTGGCAGGTTTTCAGTCTTTCCATTTTCCTGTAATGGGTTAAAAAGCACGCTGAAACATATTCAAAGCTTATGATGATGTTTCATAACCTAAGTCCTGCTTTAAACTTCTCTACATCTCTATTCCTGAACAAAGAAACCAGGCACATATAAATAGCAGACAACCCTGAGTCCTGTGCAGATTTAAAAATACATAATCTTTGTTCTGTCGGGTCACAAGGGTTGTCGGTGAGACCAACAGCTTTAATTTATGATGTGCTACGCACCAGATGATACATCTGATGTTGAGAGCCATTAGCTTATGCATTTACCTCTTAGGTAAATGTTGTGCTAGTCTGGAGAGAGATGCTTTGGTCTTGAAAGTGATGTAACTACATGGCTTTAAACTACATGGCTTTAAACTACATGGCTTTAAACCAGGTCTAAAGACTGAAGGTTCTTCCTCAACCTGGAATAGGAGAGGATATTCTTTTGTCTTGTTTTCTGTTTGTGGTTCTTCTGGTTCAGTGTGTCCTTGTCTCTTGGGTCAATTTTTCCCAAATGTTTTTGTCATCTTGATTGATATGTGGTTTATGTTTTTTCTAGTGATTCCTCCTCAGTACCCCCCTCCATAGCTGCAGCACGTGCCTTGCACTAAATTTCACAATCTCGTGCATCTCTACAACAAACGCAGTGAATAAGTTTGGGTCAGTAAAAAACATGCCGCGTCATCATCCTCCTACAACTTCCTGTCGCCTTTTCCTTCGTCTTTTCCGCCAGTAGTAACATCCAGCTGTTGATCAAGTCACTGGTGATGCAAAAATAAAAAAGCGTTTCCATTGCAGTTTTGCTAAATACACTAATTTCAATACAGCCGAAAAACCAACTCATCCTAGCGCAACAAACTTTTTACCACAAAATGTTTTTTTTTTCCATAATTGCCATGTTTCCAATAAGCTAATTTATTTTCCTAATTTCAATTTGGTCAATTTTAAGGTCCATGAAAATGCAGATACAGTTTCCTGTACTTTGTGAAAGTTTCTTTTGTCCGTATCATGAGTTTTACGATTATCCTGCTTAGCTCCTGTATGTAGGATTATATAAATTATTAGGATCTTTTGTGTGTGTTCGATGTTAAACTTTACTTTCCTCTAGTATGTCCTTAAATTTCAGTGATATCATAGTCTGCCCTATTCTTCCTCTCTGCGGTCCTTAGGGACCAGAACGGATCTGCTCTGATGATCGCCTCTCGACGTAGACCACCTCCACCCCTCAGTGCCCCTCTTCCTGGCAAACCTCCTGTCCTGTCCACACAGCCGGCTAGCAAAGCATCCCCTGATCAGAGCGTGTAGAGTTAGCTGGGTACATGAAACATTTTTAATTGGATGAACATGAACTGTCCACTCTGCTTCTCTTTAACAAAGACAGTTGTCTGAAATCCAAAACGATAAAAATTAACCTCGGCAGGTTGGGATGTTTCAGGAAGCTAAGTTCAGCCTGAAACACATTAACAAGGAAAACTACAATCCAAATATCTCGATCACCTGACAACCTCAGGTTTCCAGCAGCCGTTAGCTCTGATGACGATAAACCTCTGTTAGCCAGGCACATCCACGGTCCGTGAGGCTGGTCAGACGCCCTCAGAGACTCTTTTAATGAACTGGTGAGCCCTCTGAGGCCTCAAAATGTAACACCTCTTAAATATTCCCCAAGTGGAAGTAATTATAACGTCCGACAGCTTGTCTGCTTTCAGAGTCTCTTGGGAACAAAGCCGTGGGTAGTTAATAAAAAAAACAACAACTAAATGTCCAAACAGAAAACTTTCGCCCACTTGCTGACCACATGTTCAAAACACTTCTGATTTATTACGCATCTAGAATAGGTAGTTCATCACAGTATTTTTGAAAAGCAACATTGTGTGAGCTTGTGCAGATATATCTTAGCCTTCCCTTGGGTTCTGCCAATGAGGGCTGAGCGCGATGCATGGACTTTTGAAAAGTAAATACAAACTAGAAGAGGGTATAAGAAGTAGAGAGACTGACATCAGAGGACCAGACAGGAAAAAAAATAGCAGCAGTGCTTTGAAACATTCAGTTTTAGTCGCCTATTAATGTTAATCAAAAGGAAGACGAGATCCACTAAGGAGTTTACGTATAGATAGCTGCATGTTTTCAACGTCTATCCAGAGAAAGTTGCTTGTTTTTGCTTCTGCGAGGATGACCATTACCACTGCAGCTGAGGAATGGTACAATAAGCAAAGCTAATTAGCAATTAGTTACAGTATCTAAGCAGAATATAACCACTGAATCACAGAAACAAGCATCTTGTGTACAGGATATATTACTGTTTAACATGGTTTGGAATTTTTTCACATTGAAGCTGCAATGTTGAACCTTTATAAGACATGTTTTGACATATTTGTTAAATGTGTATGTTGTGACTGTACGGTATGAGACTGATAATCTGAGCTCCTCCCTGAGCTACTGCTGCTGTCTGAAGAAACCATCCACTCCTGACCAAAAACAACCAATCGGAGGCAGGAGGAGGGTCTTAGAGCTGTCAATCAACCTCGTGAGCGCGCTCCTAAATGTGCTAATGGCAGAGAAACAACTTACAGAGAAACCATTCATCAGTGGCCATGCTAACTAGGCTAGCATTTATGACAGGCAATGCACCTGGAGGGTGATTGTCAGCACTAAGACCCGCCTCCTGGCTTTGATTGGTTGATTCTAGGAGCCAAAGAAGCAAACGTTTTTTGCCGATTATTTGTCTCATAGCATACTATCATGACATAGACAGTTTCAACAAATATGTGAATAAAATGTTTTTTGTGAAACTCCTGCAGGTTTAAACAGGAAATTAACTTAAACTATGGAAGATCTTATCTTAAGTTTTACACGGAAAATTAGCAATTCTTTCTCTGTAAAGCCATTCTGAAAACATAAATTAGGTACAGTGAAGAGTATGGGAACAAGGCTTTTTTTTTTTTTTTCTTTAAGTCTAACAAGAAGAAAATCAACTGACTCATCACATTGGCAGGATTATTAAAATCCACTTCCTACTTTCTCCTTTTTATTTTCCACTATTCACAGAAAAAGGGGAAGTCAAATGGCATTTACTGAGCACATAAGGCCAGGACAGGGATAATAGAAAATTGCTCATGAAAGCAAAGAAATTACCATGAATAGGAGAAGGAAAAAAAATCATGGCTGAATCCAAGTCTAAGCTTTTACAATAGAGAAAAAAAAGAGAAAGAGAGAGAATGACTTGGCCCGATTAAAGATTATCTAGGACCTGAAATGGTCAATTCTTGGGGGGTAAAGAATGGCGTGCCATCTTATAATTAAGAACTCCATCTGATAGTCTATATTTGGCCAGTCACACACACACACGGTGGGTGGAATTCAATCTCACGTCTCTCTTATCTTCCGCTCGTGCGGTCAGCGGCACATGCCCGGTGCTCCAACCTGCATCCCTGGCAAAACAAGGGAAGCGAGCAGCGTTTCCCCCCCCCCCATCCTGCTGCTGGCTTCACGGCTGACCGACCTCTTCTTGCTGCCTCGTTTTGTAGCCTAATAAATAATGAAGGTTTGATTTCTCGGAGGGCGCGTCTGCACACTGTGCACCTGGACGCCCCGCGTGCCTGCTGGCAGGAATTAAAAGAGCCCGTTTGCAAAAGCTCAAAGAAGCACAGCCACTTCATGCCACCCACTGCATAAAGCTGAGCAGAGAGAGAGAGAGGCATTCTGACTAAAGCCGATTCTCCAGGGGTTATCGCACAGATTGCCAAGCTGAACACTGCCTTGGCTTTTGCTGCTTTACAGCAGGTGATACTCAAACATCAAACTTTGCTCCTCGGGAAGAAAAAGAAGCAAGAAAAAACAGCAACATATTTTGTCTCTGAGAGGTCAAGAGCTTCAGAATCTGTTAGTGAAATGTGTCAGAATTTTAAATCTCCAAGCACTCACTCTGACCCGATTTAACCTAAACTGTAGATCGCTCTCTAATGTCGGAGTGCGCTGTTTGTTATTTCCACAGGAAATGGTGTAATTTACCGTTTTTGTTGAGCGTGTTTTCCCTGAACCTTCCTCCTCCTCCTCCTCCTCCTCCACTTCTCCTTCAGTAAGCAATTTCCCGCATTGCCCAGAATGACGTGAAAATCCCCCCCCCCCCCCAAAAAAAAAGGGGGAAGGCTTGAATTCAGCTGTGGGTTATGCATGTAGGTGGAGAGAGCAACACCGATAGCAATAGCATTTAAAAAAAAACAAAAAACAAAACAGCAAAGGCTTTTTGCACATGAGTGAAAGCAGCATGACTAACAGAATCTGTATCAGGTCTCGTTGCTGCTGGGAGCTCTGGTTTACTGAGGAAACCGTCACGGTATAAAGTTGTTACTCCTGTGTTGGATTTCTGCTTTTATGGTTTGGGAACAATGGCGAGTCTAAAGGACGACGCAGAATGTAGACGGCGTGAAAAAAAATACAAAAAACAGGTTTTTTTATCTGCTTCTTACAGAATTATTTGGACAAATGGACCTGAATGAGAGAAACATCAACAGCAGAGTGAGAAGGTGTTCAGTTTTACACCAATCACAATCTGGATTCAAAACAGTTTGGATTTTGGTCAGGATCATTAACAGAACAAGGAAGACGGACGATTGCTGCAAAGATATTCAGATGAATATGATGACTTTTGAGCTTTTTTCGTGGTTTGTTTTGTATTTTGAAAAATAGAGAACAATATTTCCAAACACACAGTAAAAGGCTTTTCAAAAAATATTAAAGTAGGTGTACCACAAGGCTTTGTTATTGTGCCACTGCTGTTCTGCTTATAGATTGATTACGTACTTGACAGCTGTAAAGAATTTCATTGCCAAATGTGTGCAGATGATGTAATGACAGAGACTCCACAGCGCCCCCTGGAGGTGTTTCATGTCCAAATGGTAGGATTATGTTTAGTTTTCGGTCTTGGATTTGTGCAAAAAGTTGTTTCAGTTCACTTGAATCAAACATAACATTAAAATGTTGTCTTTCTACTCCAAGTAGTGACCAGACAGCAATAAAACAAGTTCAAATATTTAGATGCTAGTAAAGGTTACAAAAACTTCTTTTGCAGATAATTTCCACTCTGGTTCTTATTTTCATGTTTTTTATTTTTTTATTTTATTGACTATTGTAAACAGGTTGCCTTTTTTTTCAATTTCTTGTTTATTCGACATCACATCCATGGTTGAAAACTAGCTTTTTTGAGAGAGGTTGTTGTACGGAGGAGACAACAGCTGGTCTGCTTCGCTTCAGTTCAACTTAATTCAGTTCAATTTATTTCTATGGTGTCAATTCACCACTAATATGATTTCAAGGCTCTTTACTTAAGAAAATATGTGAAAACAATTAAATCCAGACAAACAAATTCAAAATCAACACACATTTAGAGTTAATCCTAGTTTTCAAACAATGTAGTTGAAGTTCAATTCAATTTTTCAAATTGGTAACAAGAAAATCTGAAGGTACAACAGCTCAAAAATGGTCAAAGACATCGGAAATCCTAAAACACTTTTGAGCTACAACAATTTCAGTAAGATTTATTTTGCCTTTTAACAAGATTGATAGCAATTCATAAAGTCTGAGGTGTCGACTTTATGTTAGGAAGAACATAGTTTATGTACTTCCTAAAAGAAATAAATTATGTAAATAAATACATTTGAATTATTGAAATATTTTTATCCTTATAGCCACCCTTTTGTATGCGGCCTTGTTGGTTAGAATACAGAGTATCATTAAAGCTATTTATCATAATAAACTTAATAGTTAGAACACAACAAAGTTTACAATTGATTTAATCATATTTATCAAACGATTACCGCTGCCTGCCTAAATTCACCCCACATCACATCTAAAAACATAATTCAGCTTTATTAGATTCTGACAGCTGATAGTTCTCTCTGTTTACAGTCAGCTTGCATTTACTTTATGAAATGAATTGTTTACGCTGTCGACCGTTCAGAAACGGCTCGCCATCTTTTATTTTTATTGCTGATCCAGGGGATTTAATCAGGAAGGCCTTTTGCTGATAAACCAGCTGAAAAGCAAACTGGCGCCATGCAGCACCGGGGCTCTGCGCACTGAGCAGGCAGGTGAGGCCCAGCCTGGCCATTTCATCATTTTCCTGCTGACCAGGCACCAGTAGTCTTTAATAAAATTCATTCATCTTCCCCTCTTGCTCTTTCTGTATTGGACCAGGCTGATGCTGCTTATTATTCCCCAGTGGAACCTATTTATTCGCCATTTAGGAAATATTACGCTCAATCCTGGGTCGGCGTGAGGCGGCTGAGCGGACGGTTAAGCCCAGCGACCTGTTTTAATCGCTTCATAACGGAGGAGTCTTTATGGGAATGGATCGACGAACTTGTACATTCCTGAAGACTAGATGAGCGTTTGTGACTTAGCCGAGTGTATCGCTGCTTTTTTTTTTTAGCATGCCTTGGAGTTTACATTTCTTCACTTCGTTTTAAAGCGAGTTTAAAGCAGACGGTTCTGATGATTCGTTGGGTATTATTGTCATTTAATTATTTCCACCCATGCAGAGCTGTGTCTGCCATTAAACAGCTATAGCCCTGGGATTTTAAAAAACAAGAACCTGTCTAAACATAAAAACTGCAAAGTGCATTTGACCGTCTGAGAATCAGTGTAAATCTTGTACTTCCACAGAAATAGAAATCTTAATCCGTTTTTGTCATGCGAGGAGCTGAAAACCTTATTGAAAGGACCAAAACACATGGGAACCCGAGACTTTTTACATTTTCTTACTCACAGGATTAACTTCATATCAGAGAGTCATAATCATAAATGGCATTCATGGTGAAATCAACCGACTGTCACAAGCTAGCCCAGGCTTGAATGACAAACACAGCAGTGCCTAAAGAGCATTAATCCATTAATCTTGGCCCTTTGTATCTGTGCTTTTAAGACTCTTATTTTTAAGAAATGAAGTCAGTAGTTCTTTATTTTTCCTGTTTTGGTTAACAAATGGAGACTGTTCATCATGCTAGTCAACACTCGGCTACAAACGCAGCGGAAATAAGAAACTGTTACAGATAAGATACAGTTTAAAAGAACCATGAGGAAACCTGACCTGGCTAACTGCTAGCTACTAGCAATGCTACGTTGCTAAGCTAAATATTGGTAAATACTGGTACTGTATTCTATCTGATGAAAAAAAAAGAAAAAGGCATTAGCATTTTCATAGATTATATATTAGGGAATGTAAACGTGAATTTGTTTTGTTTTTTTTTACTTTGATTATTATAAACCTAAATTTGACTTTTTTGTGAATCTGAAATCATCTTGGCTCAAAATGGTCAATAGCCTGCAGGCACATCTGTAATCACCTGAACCTGTTATTAAGTGATGACAACACCAGAGTGTACTTTAAATTGACAAGAATTACCTTGTTGATACTAACTTTGACTTAGTGATGGTGGAACTTAATAAAGGACCATTTTTTAATGCTACAGACAGTTTAACTCGGTATTATTGGGGACATAAATGTATAGATTTTAGCATGAGAGTAAAAATTTTGACCCCAAGTGAAAATAGAAAAGCTACAATAAATTAAATTGTTGGTCATTGTTCTTTTTAAACAGAGCTAAGGCTGTATGTTATCAACAGTGTGAAAAGCAACATCCAAACCTCTGAGGTAACAATAATAATTAAACAAGCTGTATATTATTTAACAAACTACATATTTAAGATAAAACATGTCTGATAGAACATGATACAACCACAATACTATTACAAGTCTGAAGTTTTTATTTAAATTACCTTCTACTGAAGTTCTAAAGTCAAACCAAATGCTGTTTTTTACAGATTTCTCAACAGCTAAAGATGCTGTTTTCCCCAGGCCAACTTTCTTTCTCCCATTCCTGCACATTTCACATAAAAGCCCTCCTGTCCCCTGATCTAAAGCAGATCATATTTGATGTTGGAAAAAGCCGCCGTTTCTCACCATTGTGGGCTTCAATCCTCTCGGTGTCAGCTGTAGCTAAGGCAATGTGATGCATCCCAAAAGCTCCGAAAGTCATTACCAATTTTCCCTTCCAAAGACGGATTAAATATTATTTATAGGGCAGGGGGGGTAGACTTAAGTTCACTTCGGTTGCCTCTGCCCCTGTTGTCAATCTGAATGATATGCTGGCAGGCATGAGGCCTTTATTGGAAAGCCGCAGGGATTGAGTTTTAAATTCTCCATTTCACTCAAAGCAGCGTGCATGATGACCTGCAACCCACATTTATATATATATATATATATAGTTATTTTTTTTAAAGCACTAGAAAGAAGAAATTGAAATTGACTTTAAAATGTAAACAATACAGGAGATAAACCAATTAAGCGAAACATCATGGGCCCTGACTGTGAGATGTACAGCATTTGGTAGTAAGTAGATGTTTTGCTTGGGGGGAAAAAGGGTAATCAGAAGGATTCAGGCATGCTTGATAAAGACTGTGACGGCTAGACAGCTGGGTCAGAGCATGAACAAAACCACACAGTGCACAGCGAACAAGTGACACAGTCACTGATTATGTGGAGCAAGACTTGATCTAATGCAGCTATAAGGGCAGTATGTGTTTTCCAGCAACATTTTTACACTATTTTTTACTTCAATTGTTATAAAAATGCTGAAAATGTCAAATGTTACTTAGATTTACTTCTTGATTTAACGTCTCTAAATTGGGCCACTGTCTTTCTAAAGGCATGTTTATTTAAAACTCCTCCTTCAGGAAGTCATCACAACATGGCTCCTCTTTTAACCCTTTAGTGACATTTTGACCAGCGTTTCATTGCGAAGTAGCTCCTATAATGAGCTCAGGTGTTCCACTATGTGTTTGCTAATTGCTGCTGGCTAGTCTGAAGGAGCTGAGTGGTGGGAATAACAGGGGAGGAGGGCTGCTGTGTGAGGCCGAAGCTCAGAAACTCCAGCTCTGAGAAGGAGCTGCGCCTCAAAGGCGGGGCTAGGTCCAACCAGGCGTTTTGCACAGCTGAATGGTTGCCACGGGAGATTAAAGGATTCCTCAAACATGCATGAAACAATCCAGGCAACACTCCAGATGTGTTTTTGATGACATTATGATACAAAGCTAAAAAAAAAAGCCTTTTTTACATAGTACTGCCGTGGTCTTGATTGTATGTCCAATCACTGCGTATGCGTGTTTGAAATTGCAAGAAATATTTCTTGTCTACTTTAGTTGACAATGTTTTCAGCAAACAACTACAAGCACACATTTTGATAAAATCTGAAAGGACAAAAAATCCTCCTCCTTTATTGCAGCGCTAAGATTTCATATATACATATATATACTGCTCAAAAACATAAAGGGAACATTTCACTTTAATTTTGTGTGTGGCTCTAAATCCAGGCCTCCATTGGTTAATAAATTTGATTTCCATTGATGATTTTTGTGTGATTTTGTTGTCAGCACATTCAACTTTGTACAGAACAAAGTATTCAATGAGAATATTTCATTCACTCAGATCTAGGATGTGTTATTTGAGTGTTCCCTTTATTTTTTTGAGCAGTGTATATATATATATATATATATATATATATATATATATATATATTAGAGGTGTGCCGATCGATCGGTCACCGATCATAATCGGGCCGATTTTCGTGAAAAAGTGCATGATCGGT